GTAAAGCCCTTAAAAGATGATGGGAGGAGTAGTGGGAGATTGCTGAAACATTCTGAACTGTCAACTTGTTTCTGATTAAAAATGCATGGCTTGTGAGGTGGTGGGGACCCCTTAAAATGTGTAGGGAGGTGAAGGAATGCCACAGTATAAATCTGGCAATAAATAGAGCAGGAGAAGTAATAAAGTCTTCTGTTTTGTAGTTCATAAGTGGTCTGATTACCAATTCCCTCCTCAGGCATGTTAACCGAGTTAATGTCCATGCCTGAACTTTCTGCCCTCCTACTTTGGCTATTTCACCATCATGGACCTTCTCCAATCCAAATAGCTACTCCCACTTCCTTAACAGCCTGGTAGAGGAACTAATTGAATCCACTGGCGACCATGAATCAGTGGTAATTATATTGATTCATAATGAAGAGTGATAGCAGTTTGCTGCGAAGGGCTTCATTTTTCCTGCCTCACATGATGAAACCCCACTTTGGCATTGCTTAAGAACAGCCTTCTTAATTTTACAAGCCTGACACTTGAGAGTCTGACGTGCACCTCATGAAGGCTTTGGTCTCAGGTTGGTCTTAAATGGATGCCTGAATTTTCTGCATCTGTGCACCAAATGAAAGAGTCACACAGAGAATGTTTTACAGGATCTCCAGAGCAACCAAAAATGTGAGTTACTTTTCATTATGATACATGGTGCATGGTGCAGAAAACAAAAAGAAACTGTGCATGGCAGTGCAATCACAATGGGCCTTGCTCAATAATTATTCTGTGGTATTGGAAAGCTCTTCTGCTGTGTGGTGCTAAGCACCCAATTTCTGTCAGCCATTCCTACACACGGCAGCATCCCACCCCCCTCAAAAACTATTCTTTAGGATTGGGGTTCTGAGGGCTGCAGTGGTAAGGTGGGGTTCTCATTTCCAGCCTTCATCTACCTTCCCCTCTCAAAGTGTTTCCTGAAGCAGCTTGCCTCATTATGCCAGCCCTGTTTAGGTCCGCCATGTCTTCAGAATGATTAGAATAGGTTTAAAAACCTTTTCTGTGTCTTTGAAAGTAAACTGACATGCAGGAATTAGCCAAGTGAAGCTTTCACCATGATTTTGACTCCATAGGGGGATTCACACATTACATGGAACGTAATGCATGAACACCCCTCACAACAAGAAAGGTTTTCCCTTTTCAAATTGTATTGCTGTTAAATAAAGAGGATCAGAGAAAAGTTTTTAAAAGTGGCAACCTAGAGTGGAAATAAATATTTACATTATGGATTTGCATCATTTCCATAATATATATCTCAGTGACCATCATCTCACTGAAGCTGCTTATCTGCTGTACTGAATTTGGAATATGCTGACACAGTGACCATGACTTTTGGCTTAATCTCCTTCTGACATACATTTTTTAACGTTTTATTTTGCTTTCAAATGCTGATGGGTAGCAATATAATCCTTCATTTGTTATAACAAGCTCTACTTGACAAAGTGAAACATTATTCATTGTCTCACAATGAAGGCTGAGAAGAGCTAGCAAGCCAAATACACAAGGGCCATGAGAATCAATAGAGTAGCAAGGGGGATCATGCAGGGGGGTTTGGAATGCATCCTTCTTCTTCCTGCTTATGTTTCTTTTCATTGTTTAATGGCTTTCTTGTGGGGGAATGGAATGCTAAGTAGCTTGCTTGGATGCCAATAAGTGCTGTACAAGAGCACCCACTGAAACCTTCATTGCTTTGTAACAGTCATTATCTTCCCAGCCCCTTAGCATTTGCATTGCCAGTGGGATAAGGACTGCTTTAGCAAAACTTTAGAAACCCCAATATTAAAGGACATTGTTTGCAGGAGAGAAAATAAATGGGAACAATAATTCATAATCCAACCTATAGCTTTTATTCTTTTTCAGATAGCTATATTAAATCGTTCATCAAATTAGAATGTCTGTGATGATCCTTGTATTTAAAACCTGTCTTTCTGTTGACTCTGAGCAAATTTGTCAATTGGCTACAACCCAGCACAGAATTAGACTCCTGTAAACACATTGTTGAAATCCAGCCAAAATTACATACTTTTGTGTATCCCTTATTTCAATGAGAAGATTTAAGCACCACTTCATTGCCAATGAAGTGAGATGAGCACGGCAACCCCAGAGTCGGCCATGACTGGACCTAATGGTCAGGGGTCCCTTTACCTTTACCTCATTGCCAGAAGTGACACCTCAATGCCTTCCATACATGATGCCTCATGAGAATTTTGGGCATCCCAGGGCAGGACAGAGTCTCAAGCAAAGGTGTGCTCTCCCGAGCCCACATTGCCACCATGATCACACTCCAGTCTCAGTGGCTGAGTCATGTCCACAAAATGGAAGATGGCAGGATTCCCAAGGATGTGCTTGACAGGGAGCTGGCTTCAGGCACCAGACCCAATGGAACAACAACTCTGTGCTACAAAGATGTCTGCAAATGTCACATGCAGGCTTGAAACATTAACTCTGCTGTATGAGATACCAACACAATAGATATATATATTTATTTATACCCTGCCTTTTTTCCTGATGGGACTCAAGGCGGCTTACATATAAAAATGTGAACTGTTAAAATTGTAGGAAAATATTAAACCTTGTTAGAAGTAAAAATATATACATATATCAATCTATTAAAACCATACAACTAATTGCAATAAAAACAGCCCTTTCACTGGCAGTAGTGAGTTCCCCAAACTTCCCCAAATCTTTTTTGTTTGTTTGTTTCAGAAGTCTTCACCTGCTGGTGACTCAATAAGGGAGTCAGCTTAGCTTCTCTAGAGAGGGAGTTCCTATGCCTGGGAGCAGCCACTGAGAAGGCCCTCTCTCTTATTTCTCCCACCAATGGCAATGGCACTTGGAAGGGCTTAACAAAATGGTCTGCAGTCATTCTACAAATAGATTTAAGTGGGTATAACATAGTTACCATGGGTGAGATATTGTCATGCAGAGGAATAGTGGGAGGCACCAGCTAGGGGAAAAGGCTCAGATTGTTTAGGGGTTGGTGGTGGGACAACAATGAGTGGTCAGAAGGAGAGGAGTTCTTGTGCTTGCTCGGCCTGAGCTGTTTTGTTTCTTTGACTAAAGAGTTAACTTCCCTGAAGCCCGGTGAGTTCCTGCTGACCCGCTCCTGGCACCCACTCTGACAAGATACGCTGAGGTTCGTTATCTTTGTATATTCCTTTGAAGTGTAAAGAAGACTTCTATTAAATGCAGGTATGTGGTAAAATGGGTTAATATGGTTAATCTCTGCCAGCCCTCCAGATGTCTCTGAACTACAGCTCCCATCATCTATGACCATTGGCCATACAGCCTAGGGCTGATGGGATTGGGAGTCCAACAGCATCCAGATGGCCACAATACAGGAGAGACTAGGTGGCCCTTTAAACTCACTCTGCTGCAGTCATACAACTCTTTCTGCCTTAATTAATTTATAAATAAGGGGACATTTGAGAAAGGTTGCTTAAAGGAAAGCATGCGTAATATGTGCTTTCCTTTCCCATTCCTTTCCCTATGAAAGAAAGGACATTCTGCTCTGGTCAGAAGGAGCCTCATCTCTCTCTTGTAGAGGAGACCCATAAGCATAAGGACAGGAAGCGTATGGCACTTCTTTTCTAGTTGCTTGCATGCAACATCCAAAGCAACTCTGTAATGGATGAAAGAGCTATCAAATGTATGTCAGAGAAGGTAAGTCTCCATAGGTCTGTAGGATAGGACATGTTTTACATTAGAAGATATGAGTTAAATTCCTAGTATCTTCACTTAAAAGGAATTTATGTAGGTTTCTACCTATGTCCTTGAAGAGCCAAACTTGGAAAGGCAGAACACTAATGATGGATGAACCAACTGACAGGGTAAATGAGCCTTGTATGTTGTGCTTGTAGTGGTGGTAGAGCTAGGCTTTCTTTTCCCATTAGAGTGATAAAACAGGGAATAGGGAAAATGGGATTGTCCATATGTTGCAGGACTACAACTCCCACCATCACTGATTATTGACCATGCTGGTTGGGGCTGATGGGAGTTGAAGTGGATGGCTAAAGATTCCTCATCCCTTTAGTAAAGCAATATGAATTGCACTACATGCCTGAATATAACATTATTTCTGTTACATTTAAGGAACAGTAATATAGGGCACAAGGAGAAGGGGACGACAGAGGACGAGATGGTTGGACAGTGTTCTTTAAGCTACTAAAGTGAGTTTGACCAAACTGCAGGAGGCAGTGGAAGACAGGAGTGCCTGGTGTGCTCTGGTCCATGGGGTCACGAAGAGTCGGACACGACTAAACAACTAAACAACAACAACAATATAGGATCTGAAATTTCTCTCTGTGTGCACACAGACACACACAGTCAGTACTGTATAACTTTCTCAGTGATCTGCCTTTGGTAAAGTACCTGGGTGTAACTGTTTGGGTACATAACAGCTTTAATACTGTCTGTTTTGCACACATAATAGAAACCTGTTTAATGTGGCATGACAGCTGAGACTTCCCAGCAAGTGCATATTTTGCAGAATGAAATATACTCTGTGCTCCTTTGCCCCTGATTTCTGAATTGGCCCCAACTTGAGCTACTCAACAGGAATGAGGGCTAATGGCTATGGTGGTGTGCTTGCAGTTTCCTGAGCAGCTGTCTGAGTCTCTTAAAGCATCCCAGTGGTATTACAGAGCCTATCATTTCCTGTGTTCCTGGCAGGATCATCTTTTAAGTGTAACCCCTCTGTGCTGCTTGTGATGTTTCATGCCTCTTTTTCATTGCAGTTTGGCATGTGAAGACCTTAATTATAGCCCTCTGAACTTCTCAAACAGAACCAGTACTGCAAAAAAACAGCACAAAGACATCCATTTAAATGTTTCCTAGTTTGAGAAGAAGCCCCATCATCATACTGAACATTTTTTAAAAGTTGTCTATTTGGAAACTTCAAGAAAGAATCTCAGTGGTAGTACAGTAGTTGTCAGGGCTCGGCTGGGGCCCTGGTGGCCATACCTGGAGTTGGTGTTCTCCATGCCAAGATTCATAGGTGATTCTGGAGGCAAGATCTAAACTGCTTTCAGAAAGCCCTACCTGGTTTACCCACTGAAGGCTAAGCTCCCATTTTGTTTATGCCTAGTTCCTATTTGTACAGTATGCCAAGCCTTGCTAATCTAGAGACTACACAGCTTCTAAAAACAAGGGCAGTTATCACACACCTCAATCAACGAGAGTCAATTTTGTTTAACCATTGCTTTTAAAAATATTTTCTCCCCCTCTCCCTCTCCCTTGGACCAGGCCAAGAAGTGTGAGGAGGAAGAGTGCATGTCACCCACACTATGGCTCTTTTCATTTGTGTGTGAAGACCCCCAGGAGCTACCCCAATAAATAATTACACACATGACATGGAATTTAATTTTAGGTTATTAGCATAATTTTGGCCACAACTTTATTGATTACAGATAGTGAGTGGTTTGTTTAGGCATTGGTTCTACTAGGCTGCTCCTGACCTCAGCAGGACGCAGCACTGACGACTGGGCCCCACCATATCGTCAGTACAGGTAAACACTGTGGGGGAGCACTGGTACGGTCACATGACTCCAGCTCATCCCAAAATGCTCCCAGGGACTCTTGCGAGGCCCTACCCCCCGAAAGGGGTCGACAAAAGCATGGCAAGTCCCTGGATTCCTTTAACGGAATACCTCTTGCCATTGGAGGAGCCAGGTTCTCCGACCTCCCCTCCACACCACCTTTAATCAATGCCTAACTGCCAAACCTTACAAAGTTGTGACAGTTTGCTATGTGGCAGACGAAACCCAAGTGGCACCAGCCAATCAGCCAAATAGGAAAATTCCTATCGGGCCCCTGCCCCAAAAGCAGACGACCCACGACGGCATAGCAAGGTCATGGCAAGACCCTAAATATAGGGAAGGGTGGGCAGGTGATCTGGTGCTTGAAGTGAAAAGAGGAAGCTCAACGCAACGTGCAGCGGTATATATAAAAATCCCTCGGTTAATACACAAAATTCCCATTGGCCAGATTTGCCCAACAACCGAGGAACCACCTATTGGGTTGTTGTGGCTATCCAATCGCTCCCACCCACAACAGTGAGGTCAGTCCTGATGATCTCACCACAACACATTCCCTCTGTGAGGAGGGCCCAATTTATCTGTGCCATTTAAAAGCTATTCATGCCACCTCAGGTTGGCTGTTGTCAATTCAATCATATCAATCCAAGCTATCATTCTTATCTCAAAAATCTGGTGGGACCCAGAGCCTTTGATGCAAAAAGTTCCTAGACTGAAGTGATAGAATTCTGGACTTTGCCACATCCAACTGCAAATGGGGGAAATCATATTTTTGAATTCTTCCCCATGTACTACCCCCGTTCCCAAATCATGTCATAAGCACACCCCGTTCCCATGTCATAAGCACACCAGAGGCAATGTTTAGTGTAGTGAGTGTTTTACACGGGTAGCATTCAGTAATATTGCTGTACCAAAACTTGCCCTTCCATTTCTCTAAATATTTCTTCAACTGTTTTTCTCACCCGATCTCAGGGTGCTTTCAAATTCTGTCAGAATTTGGGTGGGTGCAAGTTTCACATTTTTGTTTATTGTCTCAAGGTGGCCATGGGCATTTTTCTGTCCATTAAATGTTTCTCCAGCTCTGCAGCTTCTCTGCCAGCTTGTGATTCATGGTGTTTTTTAAAAAACCTTTTGTCTTGAGTTCTCAGGATGTCTTCTCTGGATCTTTAATTGAAACACAGGAAGCCAAAGTGGCTGATTATCAAGTACCTGAGATTATTGCTGTCATTGATTTTGTTTTAGAGAAGATTTACCTTTAAGAAAAATCTGCACTGATTTCTAAAAGACTAAAGAAGGCTTCACTTTTTAAAAAAGCAGCTGTCAGGCACATAAGAGGATGACACACCCAGTATAGACAAGCACCCAGGAAGGCTGCTGAATGAAGACCTCTGGAGAAATGATTTACATAATAAACAAAAGAAAACTGAGAAATATCCCCTAGCCTTGAAACCAAGGCAAGCACAGCAAATTTCTGTGCCACACCCATGGAAATTCCTCTGAAATATTCTGAACTCATTGATAATGCTGAAATGCAATTGATTTATTTCATAAGTTGTGGGAGAAGGGTTAAAACAAATGCAGGAGAATATATTGGCACAACACTCTTCAATATATCCCCATTTGAAGTGGAAGAGTTCAGAATTTTACTATCTAGGTGTGGGTAATGCAGGGGAGATTTCACCCTGACAGTTCCTCCACCTGCCTCATCTGTCCAGTCATCTGATGATACAGAACAGTACAATTGCTGTTTAAAACAAAAATAGACATTTTATTTCATAATATAATGCAGTTCAAATCTTACTGCCATAAGAATAAAAGTGGGGGCAGTGGAAGAATGCAAGGGGTTCATAAATATTGGATCAGTTGGATGTGTGATTGAAACATGGTGTTTCACAGAATGGCATTAAGATTACAATTTTATGTCCACTTACCTGGGAGTAAGTCCCATTGAACTCAATGTGACTTAGTTCTGAGTAGACATGCAAAGGACTGCACTGTAGAATAGGTACGTAGAAAAAAAGCTCTATGTTCTCATTTCTTTTCCTAATCTCCTTTTAGAGAGAGAGAAAAGTAAGGTTTAAATTTACATTTTGCAACAACTCCAATTTACCTCATCTATAAAACTCAGCAGGTAGTTTAAAAATTGCCACACCTCCTGAGGGGAATCTGTGCAATACTACAGTTAATTAAGACTCGTATTGCTACCCATTCTTTCTCTCTCTCTTTCGGTCCCTCACAACTCTCACTTTCATTCACACATATAAGTGCAGAGGAACATGTAATGGAAGTGCGACTGCTGTTTAAATATGTAAATTGTTCTGATTGGATCTTCAACACATTTTGGTACCTGACACAATATTCAGACATATTGGCTTAGAAAAAGAAAGGTGATTGGTGTGTGTATGTGATGAATTATACTTTCTCCTGCAACCAAAGGGTTGCTTCATGTGACCTATTAGGTGGTATAGTTAAGCAGGCAAATTCTAACAAATTGGTTTAACTGCTTCTGAAATTACAAAAGCAAGTAGGATTTCTCCTTCTGCTTTGGCAGGGGATGGTTTTGCCTCACCCCTTTGCTTCAATGATGCACCCCAGGATCTCATAGGGATCAGTCAGTGGGTCACATGAGCCAATAGCACACCTTTATGAAGGGACAACACCTCTTTGCTACAGCATGGCATCCTGCCCTATCTAGCAGAGTGGGAAAAGGTAGCTAGCAGGACTGGACATCCATGAGGTGAAGTGAGGCAGTGGCCTCAGTGTGGCAGGCTCCAGACAGCTGGGAAGAGGGGCAGACCTGCCTCCTGTGCTTGTTGGCCACAGTCTCCTCCTCCTCCACCCTGTGCCCACTTGCCACCCACAGTGTGCCTGCTGTTTGCCCACCACCATGCAAGGGCATGGAGGTGAGCAGCCGTGGGTGCGTGGGCATGTGGCAGTGGAAAGAGAGCACAGTAGAGGAAAAGGAGGCAAGGGGGCATGACATTTTCTGGGTGATTCCTTCAGTAGGCTACTGGGTGCCCCCTCTTTACCCCTTTCCTCCACACTGCATCAGATTTCATCAGTGATGTAAATAATTATTTCAGAAGAAACTTCATCTGGGTTCTGGCATCCTCATTCATCTGATCTAATGCCAGTGGGGAAGGGGTGGTTTTCAGCCTGTTGCAGACCCTTTGATTTTTGGCAAATAACATTGTGATTCAAAGGCGCAAACTCTTGTCTTCATTCCAGGGTGTGGAGCACGGGTCGGCAAACTAAGGCCCATGGGCTGAATCAGGCCCAATTGCCCTCTAAATCTGACCCGCGGACAATCCGGGAATCGCCACTTGGATCGCCAGTGCGCGTGTTCTTTCCCTCTCCCTCCCTCTCCTTCACAAAGCCTCCTCCTGGCTTTTCCCCGCCCTGCCTAGAGGAGGAAGGGGGCTGGGCTTTGTTAGTGCCAGCCCCTCTCCGGAGCCCTTTTGCGCGCCACTCATCATCCCTCGTTCATTCCCCCCCCCCAAAAAAATATAGCCATAAGGTCTGAGGGACAGTGGACCGGCCCCCTGCTGAAAAAGTTTGAGGACCCCTGTGGAGGCAACTGTTGCCCTAACCCTACTATCCAAACAATATACTCTCTGTTCTGTTGCATTTGCCACCCCTCTCCAATCTTAAGATAAATGCCATGCTAGTTGGTGTACACAATCTGTCAACTCTATTTTAATGTGGAGACAGGAGGACAGTCGTATCAAAGTAGTGTGCAGCTGCATAATGATATACTTCATGGTATTTCATTCTCCTGGTCGTATTCATTTAAGTTCAGGAGTGTATGAGGCTCTGACTCTGCAAAATGGCAATTAAAACTGATCCATGCTGAGCCAGTCCTGGTTGTGAAAACCCTTCCACCTTCAGGAGACAACCGTTTGCATCTTAGAAGATAAAATAAATAATTGCTGCTATTAACCCTACTACCAGTAAACCAAAATGCACACAGAATAATCTTTCTCCTGCCTGTGCCGAGTATCCTTCTGCTGGTGATGCTCTATTGAAACATCTGTGGTAACATTTGACCGCCCACCTCTATGGCTGGCAACCCTAATTGCCCGTCAGTGACTGCTTTGCCCTGTTCTCCTTTAGTCTTGTTTCTCACACTCTCGGGAGCAGTTAATATAGAAACGGAGCTTCAGATGGATCAGTGCAGTTGCTGGGTAACATCTGCTAAAGTACACAGAACAACTCAAAACCTCAAGCTTAACATGACCAATTTAAAGAGTGAAGGCTTGTAACTTTTACAAACATAGATGTATGAAATGGAGGATTTGTTTCACAAAATCTTCCTAAAAGAGTCTGAAGTTCAAGGCACGTTCCAAAGCTTTGTCATACTAACACCTCACAGCAAGTGAGCCGAAATTGGTTGTTATAGCTTTATAGGAAATATGGTCCAGAATTCTATTTTGACTTATTATCGTGCTATACCACACAATGATTATTTCTGATAACTCCCATAACTCCCTAGTGGAGAATTCCACATCAAAAAACACAGTCTGAGGAAGATACAAATATCAAACAAGTGTCATATATTCCTTCCGACATCTGGATGATGCTATTCATCCAATGAAATATTCCTTTAAAAGGTGTGCCTCTCTTCTTCTTTTTTTAAAGCATCTTACGTAAGCAGTGTCATTCCTATTCTTATGTGGAGGCAAATTTGCCACATCCCAATGACCCCAAGACCTTAAATCCTGAAGCATTATGGGATAGGGGCATTGTCCCACATTGCATCTCCTTAGTGTGAAAGCGGTGCTCTGTGAACC